ACGTAAAGTTGGCAAATTTTCACCCATGCATGGCTTAGTGGAACTCAAGGCTCAAAAAGAGCTTAATAATGGTCTTAATACTTGCATGGACCAATATCCTCCATAAAGTTTGCATTTTTAAGAACTAGGGACCTCATTGGTGCGAAGATCTAACATCCATGGCTTCTGGAGTAGATCAAAAGCTCGACTTTGAACTCAAAAGACTTCAAAATGCATATATAACCCCATTAAAATGGATTTAGCACAAAGGACCAACAATGTGGGAACTTTTGACCTCAAAGGTCTTGCTAAGGTGAAGGTAACTTTGGATCAACAAGCTCAAGTTACTCCTCTAAATGTTCCACTTCTTCTTCTTCACCACAAAACACCAACAAACTCACTTTCAATCTCTAACCTCACCATATACACTCAGGGTTACGTTTTCAGGGTAAAAGGAGATGGAGGTTGGTCTGTAAATGTCCAAGAGGTGGATTAAGATGTTTAAATAGGGTATAAATCCTCAAAATTAGGGTTTGCCCAAACCACCATTACGCCCAACCTACGTGGGAGAAGCCTGCGACCAACAAAGAGCTAGTACGCTAAGCGTACTCATAGAGTACGCCCCGCGTACTAGCCAGGGGCCAAAATGAAAAGGATTTGCATTAAGGGATAAAAGGAAACTTACTAGAATACAAATGTTACACTTTATCCATGCATGGCGTAAATCGATCCAGATATGAGTGTTAGAGCTCTAGAAATAAGGGTTAAGAACTTAATGGATTAAATTGATACATGACGTTACCACGGAGTGGCTATGTTCTTTCCACGACGTGGTGGAAACGATTTTGGCGACCAATTTGGCGTCTAGCTACCACAACGTGGCCATGTGTGGTCACGACGTGGTAACCCGAATATTTACTCGATCATTGACTTTTTGACTAAGTTTGAATTTAGGTTAGGGTTCATGTCTTAGGTTAAGAATTGACCCTTATAAAATGTCTAGGTGAGTGTTGTATTGGTTTCTTTGCGGGTGATGATCTATAAAGGTATTTGCTTATGTCAGCGAGATAAGTTTTTTCACTATACTTTGGACTACACTTTGGATCCTTTGTATGATAGGATGTTGATATGTTGTATGGTTCTATTAGGCATGTAGATTTTTTTTTATCATTACATGTGCTTGTTTTTTTTGGTAGTTTATTGTTATGTGTATATGCCAACATATTGTGGTTAAGTTTAGGTGGTTCAGTTGTGTGCTGAAGGTCTAGATATTCGAGAGGTCCAACTTTATGTTGTAGGCCAAAGGAGGGTGGTCCAACTTCATGTTGTGGGCCTAAGGGGGCGGTCCAACTTTATGTTGAAGGCCTAGGTGGTGGGCCATCCTTACACTGCAGGCCTTGTGTGCATGCATTGTATATGTATTGTTGTGTGGAGTATTTTGGGGAACTCACTAAGCTTTGGTTTACATATTTTAATTTAAATGTTTCAGGTACTAATGAGGATCGGGGGATCCAAAGGCGTGACTGTACACACTATCCCAAAGACTTTATGTTTTTTGGAGATGTTATGTCACTATACTCTAATTGATTATGGTTTGCAAAGCAATTATTTTTATGGTGTTGACTTTTATGAAAATGGCTATTATTTTTTTTTTTAAATTTGAAAAATGTTACCATAAAGTCAAAGGGATGTTTGAGATTGTTTTTTAGGCAAAAATGTTTATTAACGTTTGATGGGGACAAAGTGAGTTTTTAAAAATGTTTGGATTATTTTTGTGGTGATAATGACCAATAAGTCAATAATTTAAGTGTTTGGTTTTAGATCTTATTTTTAATTTTAAGTTATTTTGGTTAAAAAGCTAATATATATATATATATATATATATATATATATATATATATATATATATATATATATATATATATATATATATATATATATATACTAGCCGTCTACCCGCGCAAAGCGGTGGGCGGCGAATAATTTGATCTCTTTAGAATTAAAACCATTTTGCGTTCGCTTCGAGAAATGAATATTAAATGACATCTATTTTTTCAAGAGCATTACCATACCATATTAAGGGGGTGTTTCGCTAAGCTTTTTTTTAAAATAACTTATTAGGTTCCACATCACTATAAGTTAAAAAAGTGTTTGGATTAAAATAACTTATTCCGGTGGGGAACCTCTAATACGTCATTTTTTCGTAAGTTACCCTACACTTACTTATTAACTTATAAGCTAATAAACTAATAAGCAATAAGTTTTTTTTGCCAAACACCCCTTAAATGGTTATTATTTCCATTTATATATACCCAAACCACTTGTACTGTTTATCGTCCTCTTTTTTTTTTTTTTTTTTCGATTGTCTTAATTCCTTTATTAGTTTAATGTCCTACTAAGTAAAATGCTAAAATATATAAATAATAGTTTATAAAAATAAACCTTTAGAATATCAGGTGTTGTATTTCAAAAGTCGATAAATAGGCCTTTGAGAAGTCCAAAATACTTAGGTGTCAACTTGTTCATTGTGATTTTAAACAAAGTTTGGTCACAAATTAAAACATTTTCAACGATGGTATGTAATTCAAGGATTCATATTGATTTAGGTTCTCGAAACCTTAAAATATTAAACAAAATCTATATAGAACCTTATAATAAGGACAATAATCACCGTAATCAGGAAGTTTATTTGATGAAACTTGATATTATAAGGACCAATGATGAAAAATGTTTCATTTTCAGACTAAACAAGATGAAAAATATACAAACTACCTTAATCATGTCAAATCTTGTGTTTAACCGTTCTTTATTGCAAAAGTAAGATTCTAAAATATACAAACTAATGATAATACAATGCTCTAACTGACTCTCTTAGTTGAGTTCTTTGAACCTGCAAAGTCAACACATTAAAGAAACATAGTAAAAACCTTTTTAGGAACAAACCTGATATATAATAAAGCTTTCACCCAATATATTTATAAGATAAAAATACAAAAAGTTAAAAATGATGAAATCAATTACAAGTAAGGATTAAAATAAAAACCTGTTAAGAAAGAGCCATCTGCAGGAGGGATATTTGAATCAACATGTATTTTCTGATGGTTTGAAATTTTGAATTATCCGAAATTCAGGGAAAGTGATAGAATTTGTTGAGAAATATAAGGATTCAAAACATAGGTTAAAATTTAATATTATTTTATTGATAACTAGTTGTACTATTAGTTTAATGATTTCAACGTCTTAAAAAAATAATATTATTTTATTCAATCTATTTTTAGAAATAGTAAGATTTCTTTTATAAGATAGTATATATATATATATATATATATATATATATATATATATATATATATATATATATATATTAAAAAGCTAATGGAAAATTTTCAAGTATTTCTAAATTTTTTGTTTTTTAATAAGTTTGGTCGGGATACCATTTTACCACTTTTTTTTTTTTTTTTTTTTTTTTCCTATCATCCCCTCATCCATAGGAAATTGTAACATCTCCTCATCTTGTATTTTTTTTTTAATCTTTTTTTATTAAATATATATAATTATAATTTAATAGTTTTCTAAATATTTAAAATAATAAAAGATGAATATTTCATTAATTTAATAATAAAAACAATTACATAGAAAAAACAACAAATTAACTAAAATAAACAACGTAAAATAAGTGTACTTGAAATATTTTTTTCATAATTTCTTCTCTTACCCACAAAACCATCACGAGTTCGTCTCCCGAAAGATGGTTGATGGATTGCGTTAAAAATTTCATACCACAACTTTTTTGCTTCTTCTTTTTCCTTTCTTTTCTCGATCAGATTCTCTTTTTTGAATTGCAAACGTCTTTTGAAATCCAATTTATATATTGCAAAGCTACTTGTCACCTTGTGCACGTCATCACCTTTGTCTGATCCCGATGCATCAGACGAAGACCCTATATTTTTTATTTATCTCTACCAATCAAACGAAATATCTATTCAAGCTTAAACACGACATCTTGGTTCAAGTCTAACCCGAAAACGAGTATTTGATGAAGTTGTATAACTCTTTTAATAATTTTTAGTTCTTTTTGAACCACCTTATTTTTCTTCTTTTTTCAATCAAGCCTTCCCATTTTGGTGACATGATTAAAATTTCAAAACCTCTGACAAATTTGAGTGGCTTCCGGTTATTGTATATTTAAAATATTTCAAACAACGTCTTGAAAATGTCTTTATCATTTTACCCGCTTTTTCTTTGGTTCATCAAGTTGTTGTACACTCTGTTGAACTTTGTAACCATCTTGTTTATTTCACAAAACTTTGGCATACATTGGTGCTTTGAACGATAGTTGCCAAGACCTATTTCGTTAAGAAATCATTCAATAATGCACTGTCAAAATCTTCTTGTGCTTATGCATTTTCCTACATGAGATCCTTTGAAGCGTGGATCAATGACTTCGCTAATTTTTCCTTTTCTTTTGGTGTTTATTGCCGATGAGATGTCTTTCCTTTTATAGTCGGGGATTTTCCTGTTGATTTAGGATTAGATGGTACGGGTTTAGGTAGGTTGCATTTTCTGACGAAATTTAATTCATGATTTGGTTGGGGGTTGGCTTCTCGGAATTTACTTGGGAAGAGCGAAAAAATTATGAAAATAGAATGGGTTAACGGGTGATGTTGAGTAATATCATGATATTTGTTGATAGTGAAAGTGTCGGGGTTGGGGTGAAAATTTTAAGCATCAAGTCGTGGTTGATAAACCGACTAATCGACAACACTATTTCGAATCGCCGTTGTTGAACCACTTGCCTGCAACTTGTTTCAAGAGGATCTTTTAGGCAACTTTGGTGAGAAAGTTGTTTAAATTCATTTTGGTAATAGAAAGTGTAGAGTTTTGTTTGAATTGAATAGTAAAAAGTATAATAGTTATGTGAAATAAAATATTACATAGTATGATATTTTTAGTGGTTTATTTATTTATTTTTTGAGAAATTGCCATCTATAGTCGATGAATGAAATAATAAACAGGACACAATGAAAGTACATTGCACAGAATGGACACCCATCATCGCACATTGGTCGGTGTAGTGTTTATCACGGTATGAACACAATACCTTATAATGCGCAAGATGTTTATTTTGATATACTTAACTTTTCAAAAAATAATAATAATAAGTCTATAATTGTTTTGTAAAACAATCTTAAACATCCATATTTTTTTTTGAGTTCCATAACAAAGCAGGTGCTACTTTTGTTATTTTTGAACCAAATAGAAATAAAAAAAATTGTAATTTACTCGGTTGAAATGAATTTTATATCTCGTTTTCTTAAATTTTAATTCGCTTAAATTCAAAATCATCGATTTTTAATTCTTTTGATTAAAAGTTTGATCTTTAAAAAAAATTAAAATTAAGATTAGGATTTAGTAGGGGAGGAGTTATCCTATTCTTTTTCAAAAAGGAAATAAACAGAACCCAGACTCCTCTCTCGCCCCAAACGCATATCTTTGATATCTTCTCGTTCTTCCAACTCTTCTTCTTCTTCTTCTTCTTCTTCTTCTTCTTGCTGCTAACTGCTAAGGACGGCTTCTGTTTTTAACACTTCAGGTACAGATATAGTTAATCTGTACATTATCTTTGATTATGCGTTTACAACGCCTTCTTTATATAATTACTACCTCTTTTCGTTTTTCTTTTTTTCGTTTTTTTTTTCTTCAGGAAATTGTGATTGTTTCATAATGACGGCCGGTGTTTGTGAGGTTGAAATTGAGAATGTTAATGTTTTTTCCGGTGATTCCTCATGTAAGTTTGTTGGTGGGAGTGATGAGGTGATCGGTGGTGGTGGGAGAATGGTTGAATGCTCTGCCTTGGGCACTAATTTCATTGTTCTTGGGTCTGCAATTGCAAAGGAAGGTGAGGTGGACGACATTAACGAAGAAGTGAACAGCAAAAAAAAGTTCAACTGTAAATCAACTTGGAAGGCTGAAGAGTGGTGCCGTTTTTGAGGACTCTGTGAACATTCATCTGGACGTGAGCCATGGAGAGATTGGGCAAGTCTCTGCAACAACCTGTGAAGTGGAGAAGTTAAACGGTTTTGAAGACTTGGGTGATGTAGTCTTGACAGTTAAAGTCTCAGGTTATGTAGTCAAGACAGTTGAAGACTCGGAGGACGTGGTCCAGACAATTGAAGACTCATGATATGTGGTTCAGACAGATGTGTTCCAGACAGTTGAGGACTTGGGTGATGTGGTTCAGACAGTTGAAGAGTTGGATGATGTTGTCAAGCCAGTTGAAGACTCATGTTATGTGGTCCAAACAGTTGTGGACTCGGGTGATGTGGTCCAAACAGTTGAACACTCGGGTTTTGCTAATGATCCAGTGGAGAATGGGGATACTGAAGTAACAATTGTTGATGAGGATGCCAAGTCATGGGAGCAAGTGAAAGGTAATCCAGAATTCATAATACAAGATATTGAATTTCTTGAATTAGATGTTAAATCTGAGGATCGTAACAAGGAGAATGTTGAAATTATTGATGACGATATTGAATCTCAAATTGTGGTTATCGATGATGTTCAAAATACTTGCAACCAAGATGTTGATAGTGAGTTTCAACAATTATTTGAAATTGATGATAATAAGGAATCTAAAATGTTGGTTATGAAAAATGTTGAAGATACTCCAAGCTCAGATGATGATATAACACAATCAGTTATGGCTGAACATGAACAAGAGACAGAAGCCAGCAATTATCCAATCACATATCATACTACAATTTCACAGGTAGAGATTGATTTTCCTGATGTCAATGATGAAAAACAAACAGAAGAATTTGAAGTTAAGGAAAATCCTATTGTCCCCAAATTAATCTTCCCTGATTCATTAGTGAGCCCTGATATAACGATGCAGTTTGGCTCATTCAGTCTTTATAAGAAGGATCAAAATTAGGAGACTGAACCCACATGCAGTGCCAACAGTAATAATCTTGAAATAGTTCTTGATGATTTACAAGGAAACATAAGTGTTGACAAGGTAGTCAAAGATACGGGTGACATGGTTCCTATGTTTTTTGTAGAGGCTTCAAGTGAGTTTATTAATCTTCAAATTGAAAATACTGATAGCAAGGTATGATTTCACTTTTTTTACTTTCTATTGTTCTTATACAAACATCTGACCAGTTTTCTATCATGTAGTATACTATATGTTGTAGTTCATAGTTGGTTTTTATTCTTGAAGCAGATACACAAAATGGAGGATATGATACACCATGAACCATTGGGCTTAAAAGATAAGAATCAGTTCATTTGCAAAATCAAGCAATCGAAGAGTTATGTTTCAAATATGGGAATCCATGATGAAACTCAACATGCCTTAAACCAGAAAAGGGAGATAGAGGAGCACCTGAAGGTACATATATCACCACTTTGTATGATTCTTAGACTACATTTTAAAGGGATAAATAGCTTAAATTTTGAATTGTATGCAGAATTCAGAAAAAGAAATCAACTCATTAGAAGATAATGTATCAAAACCTGAACCTGAAGGGGCGGCTTTAGAAATAAAGAAAACACATGAATAAAATGATAAGTTAAGGAAAGAAGAAACTGAAGGCAAGTTAAAACAGCAAATTCAGTTGGAGAAGGTAAGTTTATTTATTTTAGCATATTATATCCATAAATTTGACTTTTATACAGGATGTTTTTTTTCCTGGTTCTTTTTGTCAAAAAAAGAATACTCTTTGGTTCATACATATACACATTAGGTAAACAGTCTCACAACCAACATGAGAAAAGTGTGTTTAGAATTGTAACATGTTTTTTTAGGCATCATGTAACCAATCTAAGTTTTTGCAGGTGAGAGAAAAATGGTTAAGAAAAAAAAAAAGAAAGGAAGAAGACAATTGGAGACAACTACATCAGTATGACCAACGAAATTGAGACAAATTTGTCAAAGCAGATGAAACCAAAAACCATCTTCGCTTTGGTTGTTATTTTAATTTTAATCTTTTTAGCTTACTATATAAACTAAAATATTCTCTTAGTTTTTTTATAACATTTTATAGATAGATTTTGAGTTTTGAGGTTGTAGGGTGGTTTTTAGTCTGCACATATAGTTATCGTTATTTACTTATTGGTTAAATAAATATTCTCTAAATTTTTAGTCTCTTTCATGGGAACGTACGTGGCCACATTATGAGATTCTTTTGTACTTATTTATTGGAGTTTAAAGAACAAGTAATTGACATCCAAATGGCTAAAGGGTATTGAATATTGATGACTATAAAATGACAAGTAGGGACTATACAGTAATATTCTTGATAGAAATGTGGCATTAGTTCATTAGTTGTCCTATTTAAAAGTTGCTTTTAATGTTGGTTAAACTGTTTAATATAAATAATTAACAAGAGTTTAGATAACTAAGATAAATAACATTGAATGATAAATTGAAACAAAGAAGTCACCAAAAGACTTCAATTAGCTCTACTTATATTTGGATTTTGGAAAACTTATGAAAATAGATAATACATAACTGAAATTTAGAAAAAAATTTGACACTTTTTCATGAAATTAAAGGTATTTTAGAGAATAATTTACCTGATTATAACTAAAACAATAACTTGTCCAATTCATGGTTTTAAGAGCTAATAGGTAGAACTTGAAGGTATTATTTTTTTGATTTGCCTGAAATGACTTTAAAGATATTCGATCTTTCTCTTCCATTTGCTGCGTTTTTATAATTTTCCTTAAACATTGTACTCAAAAGATGAATAACAATTCATTCTTGAATTTAAGCAATTAGAGAGATATCGTGATTAACTAGCTTCGGTATGCAAAACGAATTAGCCCACCGAGAGGGACAAATGAAATGCTCAAATAGCCCAAAAGTTGAGGTGCGACTGCGACCCAGAAGGAAAACCAACCGAAAGAGTAGGTAAGTTCATTTCTTTTAGCATGTTACACATTTCATTTTGACTTTTTGAAGATGCTTTTTTTGTTCTTTTTTCTGTCCATTTTGTCAAAAAAGAATAGCTTTTGGTTCATACATATACAACTGACTCCACAAACATGTAAAAAGGGAAAATGGGCGGGTCCCACAACTAAAAATGAGAAGGTAAATCACAATGTCACAAATTATATAAACAACTAGTTTTTAAACCGTCAAATTATTTTGTTGTCATCCGTCATCATGTAACCTAACGAGTTTGTGCAGGAATATCAAAATATTTACAGTAGAATCTTTGGTTTCTTAAAAAATTTTATTGATAGATTCACAGTTTAAGTTATATTAAATTGTAGGGTACTTTCTAGTTAGTATATATGGTTTGATGAGTATTTTACAGTTTTTTTTTAGGTCTTTCAAATTTACACAATTTCATGGAAAGTGTCGTAGGAAACATTTTACAGTTGCCAAATGCCAACCTGAAGACCGTTGGAGTTGTACATTTGGCTATTTGGGTGGTACATGATCACATTCTAAGATTCTTTTTTTGTACCAATTTATTTGGAGTTTAAAAAACAAGTAATTGACATCCAAATGGTTAAAGGGTATTGGGGACCATACAATGGTGCTAGTACAGTACTATTCTTCATAGGAAGCTGGCATTGGTTGTCCTATTTAAAAAGTCCAAAAGATTTTTTTCACTTCCCATTAAAGATTTATGATTTTGTATTACTTTTTAATGTTACTTAAACTATTTAATATAGAGAAAATTGATTAATAAAAGTTTAGATAACTAAATTAATGAAACATGGATGATGAATCATGAATCGGAGTAAAAAAACAATGAAGGTAATTCGATCTTTATTGGAGGTAACATAAGAGCACAATGCCTTTTGACAACAATTATTTTGTGGAAAAGTTATTATAAACTATAGGATTAATATCATTAAAAACCTTATATATATTGTATTTTTTTTTTTCTGTTTAAACATAATTTGTTTATTGAAAAAAAAAAAAACTTATGTTTTTTCCATTTTTCTCGATTTGGCCAATTTAACAATTTTTTAAAAAAGTTAAAGGTTTTTTCGTAAATAATTAAAAGGTTGAGTGTTTTATTGGAAAAAAAATAAAAAATTGAAGGTCTTTTTGAAAAATTGAAAAGATTAGGTCTTTGTCAAGAAAAAATAAAAATGATGTTTAATCTAAAAAACAAATATAAAGAATCTTTTATATTGTTAACCCTAAAATGTATAGAAAACTAATATGCACCAAAATTTTTAACAATAATTTTATCATATTGATATGGAAAACTAGAATCATGTAAAATAGATGTACTAATGTATTATATGAATATTTAAATGTTTATTATGATCATCTAACGTCTTATTCTCAAAAAAAATTGAAGGAAAGAAGGAAAGGAAATGAAAAAAAATGTGTGTTTTTGAATTTTTTGTTTAGGAGGGGAATTGAGGGAAGGAATCAAGGAAATAGATGTTTCGGAGTTTTATTTAAGAAATAAAAGAAAAGAAAATGAAGGGATTGTGGGGAGAAAAAAAAAAATTTCTAAGATTTATTTTCTTCCATTTTTGATTTTTGTAAAGAGTTCTATTTCCTTCACTTTTCTTCCTTCACTTTTCTTCCTCACCATTTCCTTCCTAAAAAACTTGACAGCAGGACCTAAATGTCTTTTTACAATAAAATATATCTAATATTATTTGAGGGTATAATCTTTGATCCGGCATAATGTCACGTATTTAAATAAAATTATTTGTAATAGAGTGAAATAAGTAAGATGTAGACAAATAAATCGGTGATGGATCTTTCTAATATTTCGTAATCATTGTTAATAAACAAACAAATAAATGGTTTTCGTGTCTGCAATAATTTTTCAGAATATGTAAAAGAAATGATAATTTTTATATTAATTATAGAGTAAAAATGTATGTAAAAAACGTATTTTCAAGCAATATTTATTTTATCAACACTGTAGTAAATTCAATATTCAAGGATTTATAATACAAGCCATTAATTAAATAAGGAATTCCGTTATCAAATAAAAAATCGATTATCAATAAACTAATTTCCGTTACAATTAGTCGGTTATCATACACACTAACTTAATAGTTATTTTAACAATTAAATAGTATCTTTGACTTATATTAGAAATATAAAAACAATTTATTAAAAAAGAAAGAGAGACAAAGAAATAATTAGTGTTGTGGAAACATAAAGGTGACACTGCACATGTTCACAAATGCATTGTACATGTTCAGCAATGTGCCTTTGCTTTTGGTTTGGTAATGAAAGATCTATTTGCCCACAAACTCACTCTTTCATGTAGTTTTTAAAATAAGAGCATATTTAACATAGATTTTTTTTTTGACAACTTCGTTGTAAATAAATGTTGGATACGTTAAGATTTATACTAATGCAAAGGTGGTTTGATACATTTTACTAAGTATGGTAAGAGATTGAATTGACTCTGCTAGATTCAGATCGTTTGATTTAATAATTAAAAATATTTGATTCAAGTTTCACTCAGTAGACATTGATCTGATCAACAACTATGAAACAATCCTTAAGAATCTTATATAAAAAATATAGTTTTTATAAGTATAATTTGCAATTAAGTTACGTTGTTTGATTGTCTAAATAAAATGCCTTATAAAAAGTTATACAACAAAGTAAAATTTATCAATTTAAAGTAAGAATTATATATCATAGAAAATGGTGCAGTTTGTCGTTATTAAATGATACGTAGATTATTAATTAATATATACTCCTATTAAATATGTGACCAATTAAATCTTTAATACTTTAAAAAACAGTTGTGATTTTTGTCCAATAAAACACTTATTTCATTCGACCCACATAAGTTGGCTAGTTTCCAAATTGAGTCTAATATCAAAATTGGGTTTATGGTTATCAACATCAATAATCAACCAATGTTCATAATATACATATATAATGTTGGAATTTATAGTAGAAAATGTAAGTTTGTTAGTTTCCAATTATCTTATATAGGTGGGGAAAAAATATTTGGTGGGTTTATAATGTATTTTTTTGATATGCCTTTAAAGACTTTAAATGGATCAAGAGATGGGTCAAACTCACATGCTCGCTCAGGGTCGACCCTTATGTTTATACAAACAAAGTTAGGGCTTAGGTCCCTCACATCTGGAGGGCCCCACAAACCAATGAGTCCATGTATATCCCTAATCGGCTAAGGCACTAAGTTAATCGCAACATAAAAAAAATGACGCTTAAACTTCTATCTTCTTCGTCTTCATTCTTTAATTCTTAATACAAATTATGTGAAGTTGAATCGTTGCTGAAATACTTCTTCTTCTTTTGATTCATGGCACAAGGCTGCTTCGGTCATTCCATATGTTGTCCGACTTCTTCCTTCTCCATTGAAGCCTTCTTCAATCTCCATAAACGGTAATATATGTCAATAAGTATTGTTTTTTTCACTATCTTGAACATCTCCACCATGTTTCTGCTTTAGCTTCCCAATATTAGGTTTATTGATCTTGTCAAATTTCACTTGAATTATATGTCCATTAGGATTGATTATGCTTTTCATTATAAAATGTTTCTGCAATGATAGATTATAGACTTGTAGTCAAAAGGCCCCAAAATTTTGATTCGTTTCGAGCCCCCGAACTGGTTGAGCCGGCTCTGTGCTCACCTAGCCTAACCGATGTCGTGAGTACGCGAAATTGCTTTATTTAGGCGCACTTAACACTTCACACGACACATTGGTCGCTGAGAGATTGGTGAGTTTTCAGGGTTTTGGGATCGGTTAGGTTAGAGCAACCCGATTTGTGGATTTTAGAAACTTTTGGAAGGCCCAAAAAGTGTGTTGCTTGGAGAACAAGACGTTGTCCTAGGGTTTATTTGGGTCGGCCATATGGAAGGTTTTTTGCTGCCTTCTAGGGTTTCTTGTGAAAAATAGTCTACTAAAATAAACTTAATTTAACTACAAATCTTGTTTTAAATTTATAGATCCTAACAAACTAAACTGGAGACAATGTACCTGATCAGATATATTGTTAATTGAAGTAAGCAATGGTGTAGAACTCAAGGGGAATCGACGTGTACAAAATAAAATAATAAAAATAAAGTAATTATGAAATAAGCAAGATACTTTTAATTATAAAATAT